CAGAAGGTGGGGAACATGTGAACCCTCACATGGAACTAGCACCGACAGACAGACTCACCAAAGCAAATTGTAACGGCCAGCATATTTTTTCTTTTTTTAGAAAATGAAAACCCAAGAGGCCCCAGAATAAGGACAGTGAGATCTAAGGCTGGTTTCTAGAATGGTTTGCAGAGAACAGAACCATGTTGGAATTCCTAAAATAGAACATTCAAATACTGTTGTTTCCAACAGTGAATCCTTGACAGTCGAAATGTGGATGGAATTTTGAAACATTTTTGGTAGCTACCTCCTTTCTTCAAATTCCTATAAATGGTACAGGAAAACCCAAATCTTTCAACAGAACATCTCGCGACCCCTACCTGCATACATTTGTGTTGATTTGCTTCATTTCCGGAGAATGGGAATTTGCGGAGCTGGTGATATTTCCTTTATTAAACACCAGAAATTCACCAGAGGAAGACAGATATGTGCCTTCTCTTTTTAGGATCTGGTCATTGATACTTTAATAAATGTGGTATAAAGAAAATCTCTACAGTCTGTGTAGCAAATGTGAATGTTTTTGATAAGATTGTGTTCTTAAAGTAAAAAAACAGTTTCTTTGTATTCAGTGAAACGCCTAATAAAGTCCTGGTACCAGTTATCTTTATTTTTTTCATTTCATATTCATCAGTGCTTTCACTATAAGCCCCAAACAGGATTCCTTGAATAGGAAATGACTCAGAGTATCAAAAAATATAATTCTTTTTTAAAAATATAAATCATCATATTAGGATTTCCTCTATGAAGAAATACATTCTTCACCAATGAAGGAAATGACATAAGTGATTTGATTATGTCAATGTTAGGTATCTCTGGTGGCCAATACACATAGCTTCTGATATTACTGATGGATCTTGGACGTGACTGGCGCCATTTTACATACACTCAGCACAAAATGGCCACCAGCCTTTCCCTTACGAGGTTCGTGGTGTCTGAGAAATAGAAACTCCTCCCCACCAGCACCAAACCCCTCCCTGATATGTCAGCCTTCCTTACAGTCTATATAAGCCCTCCCACCCCGACTCCAGTTGCTGCTCTCCATTTTGAGCACAGCCTGGCAGATTCCTTTTGTTTAATAAAGCTTGATCGGTGCCCAGCGTTTCGGCTCACTTTCTTTCAGTTATCACAAAGAAGACGAATATCAACATAGTGCTATGATATTAATGTAGTATACTAACATGATAAAACACCATCTCAAAATTAAAATCTTAGGGTGAAAGTATGACCTTGCTGAGCCTCCACTGGACCTATTGCATGAGACATTGTTTCAGAAGTGGAGCAGTGTATCTCACTGAATAGAGCTTACCTGTCCAGATTCAAATAATATTTTACAACAAAATTTAAGCAATGTAATAGTATTGTAAAGACAGTCCAGCAAATAAATATGGTTCAAGATTACCTCCGGCATTGAACTTGGATATAAGTCCCCAAAAANTAAATCTGTAATGATTTCTACAATTAAGAAATAGCATATGTCTGCAAATAATACTTCGCTTTGCTATATCTGTGTCCTTAGCCTAATGTTGCTAGAGCTTCACCAGAGCTGTTATTCATTTATGCCATCCTTCAACAAACATTTGCCTGCTATGTGGCAGCCTTGCTGCTAAAAACTACAAAACATTTCTAAAAAGTTCCTTGAGAAAATGGATGAAGTACATATTTCTTGTTAGTTTCTCACTAAAGCTAAAAGGTGGCACTATTTTGTCCCCTAAACAAGCAAAAAAACATTATCGATGACCTTTTCAAAATAATATCCCCAGATAGTAAAATTGTTTGAACACAGTTAGTCCTGAGAACCTGAGAAGAAAGGGACAATTTCCAAAATAAGTATACTTGGAAAATGGGTTGGTTACGGCCACAGGTAATGAAGAGTGGCTTCCCGTTCTTTCCCTGACACAAACTGTGCCGCTATGTCCAGGGCCCTCTTTGCAAGCCTGACTTACACTTTCTACCTATAACTCTAAAGGAGCCAAAGCAGGGGCTTCATTCTTCTTCCTGCCCTCACCCCTAGGCTTCAGACGAAGCTGATTTTGCACCACAGGAGAGGCTGATGGCACTGCTGAGATGTCAACAAGTGGATTTCAACATTTCAGGTAAGCAAACCACATCAGTAAAGAAGTACCACCTTCACAAAGGGTAAAAATGGTGATGCTTCCTAGATCAAAGGAGTAAAAACATCATCTGGAGTTGAAGGAGATATTTGTTTTTAGGTGGAAGGAAATATTGTAGCATGATAGGAGGTTTCAATGTTGGCTCTCAACATGTGGTTCAATACACAAGCGATCTTCAAAAAGTTCATAGAAGAATTCATAGTATCCTTTTATTCAGTTTTTCCTTGAACTTTTTGAAGTACCCTGGTATGTCCTTATATATAAACCATAATCCAATGTGGTTCAATATCTGGTCCAATCTAAGCCATAATCATGACTGCACAGGAATTAGGCAGCAAGAAGTAAACCTGCATGTAATGGGGCACCTGATACCGTATTCATCCTTTAGTATGGTGGACAGCAGGATTCCTGGAAAAGTCTGGAGCTACTAGGCACAGGTGAACCACACTAAAACCACATAAATTCTAGAAAGTGGGATTTAGTGCCATAAGTGACAGAGAGAGGGGTGGGGTGGCAAGTCTTGAAGCACTTCTCGGCAGAACTCTTTCCTCCATTCATGTAAGTTGATCTCCTGGGCTTTTACTGAGAAATAATTAAGAAAAAATCTTTTTCCTCAATACAGCTGCTCAGCTATTATTAAATTGTATTCTTTCATTCTGAAAAATAGAAACATGCCTGTAGACTAGTTTCCATATTGGGATGGGGAATAAGGCAGAAAATATCAATTTAGAACCAATAATCCTTTTCTCACTGGACTGTAAGAATATCCATCTTTGATTTAAACATTGCAGGTAAGAGGAACACCTTAGCTGTTTTGGATTCCCAGGGCGTGACAGGTATTAAAACATGTTTGGAAACAATAAAATGAAATTGTAGCTGGTTGTGACCCGCTTCTGGCTACTGGTGGCTGCTATTTTCTCATCTTGATGCCCATTGCAGTTTCTGGTCTCTGCCCCTTCTCTGCCAGGCCCAGCAATAAGCCCAGTTGGCACTGCTTATTCCCAGCTGGGCATCCCTATAAAGGTAGAGCCCTCAGCTACCAAAGGTAAGTAGTCTGTGGCCAAGTTACAGTAGGTGAGAAAATGCTTCTCCTGTCTTTATGTTACATTCTAATAGAGGGGCTCAAATATAAAGCTCTAGTGTCCTGATAATTACCCAAGATTGGGGGGAAAACTCCTTTCATTTTTAGATACAATTCTCTTTTTCTGTCTCTCTCCCTCTCATCTATGGGCTGGAGTCAGAAATGGATTCCAGTGACAGCTACCATGCTGTCACAAAGTCACCACTCCTCTCTGAGGACCAAGGCTTTCTTCTTGGTCAAATTTATCTTCCTGGCTTTTTCTTCTCTCAAAACATTATCCTAGTAGGTTCCTTGATTCTTATACAAATAGATCTCTGAAAGACCCATCCTCCCAATTCTGTTATTTAGACTCATTCTACGACTCCAGGTACATGTGGTCTAAGAGAACCAGAAGCTTCTGCCAGAAATCATGTCCATACAGATGGGCAAATGACAAAACTATGTAGAGGACTTTGTGTTTGGGTTCCAGCTCTTCCTTAGTAGAATTCTTCCTGCCCTTGTTCACCTAAAGCAAAACTTACTCTCTCGCAAACAATTTGATGAGCTCATTCACAATGAAATATTAATGTGGTTTAAAACAGTAGTTTATTCAAATGTTTCTTACTTTAAAAAAGTGTTAAAGTGAAACCCACAAAGCAATAAATATATTACAGGATGGCTTTCCTAAGGGAAAGGCCAATGGCTTTGTGTNGGTTGTGACCCCATCAAATGGCAAACAAGTGCTGAGAAGGACCATGTGCTTGCTGAGTATTGTTGGTGATGATGAGGGTTCAAAAAGTGTAAGGTAGTATCCTTCACCACCTTTTTTCCTTGGAGATACTGAGAACATGAGAATTTTAGGGGAAAATACGTCCCACAGTGTTTTCTCCAAGTGTAGAAAGACTCGGTCTCTTAGCTGTAAAGTCAACTCTAAATCTTTGTGAGGAATATTCACCCAGGGGAACTTGGCATATGATGCATTTATTCAATAAGAGCTGAGAAAGAATAGGGGAGGATATTACATCTTGAGCTTCAATAAAATCTCTTGTTAAATTTTCCCATCCCTCATCTGCTTGTAGATACAAGTACAGTTTCATGCATTTTAACTAAAATCCCACAGACTCCTGCTCCCACACAAGACCCCTGCTCACATACCCTTTGGGGAAACTGTTCCATTCTGCACACTTTTCCTGAGCTCCCAGAATTTTCTGTGCATTTAATAGAAACTCCGTGGCTTCTGGCTACTGGTGGCTGCTATTTTCTCATCTTGATGCCCATTGCAGTTTCTGGTCTCTGCCCCTTCTCTGCCAGGCCCAGCAATAAGCCCAGTTGGCACTGCTTATTCCCAGCTGGGCATCCCTATAAAGGTAGAGCCCTCAGCTACCAAAGGTAAGTAGTCTGTGGCCAAGTTACAGTAGGTGAGAAAATGCTTCTCCTGTCTTTATGTTACATTCTAATAGAGGGGCTCAAATATAAAGCTCTAGTGTCCTGATAATTACCCAAGATTGGGGGGAAAACTCCTTTCCTTTTTAGATACAATTCTCTTTTTCTGTCTCTCTCCCTCTCATCTATGGGCTGGAGTCAGAAATGGATTCCAGTGACAGCTACCATGCTGTCACAAAGTCACCACTCCTCTCTGAGGACCAAGGCTTTCTTCTTGGTCAAATTTATCTTCCTGGCTTTTTCTTCTCTCAAAACATTATCCTAGTAGGTTCCTTGATTCTTATACAAATAGATCTCTGAAAGACCCATCCTCCCAATTCTGTTATTTAGACTCATTCTACGACTCCAGGTACATGTGGTCTAAGAGAACCAGAAGCTTCTGCCAGAAATCATGTCCATA